TATAAAACCACTTAATTATGAGAGTGTTATCACAGCATAGCCTTTTGTATCCTAGCTAATGCATAGGGTTAAACAATACTTATTTTAGCAAAAAAAAAGCTTTTGTTTAAATATATCTTCAGTTTTTTGAAAATTAAATTACTCAAGTTCAGAGAAAAAATACCAAGAAAGCAAAAACTTAGAATTATAGCATTGCTTGTCTGTCTATCTATCTATAATCTTTCTTGTAATAACCGGTAAGTATCATGTGGTGGATTTCATTTTCCAGAGAAAGTTGCACATGCTTTTCTTACCATGTAACATTAGTGCTCTTCCATGGAGATGTGGGTTCTTGTTCTCTCCTAGTGCTTTTAAATTATCATTATGTATATGAATAAAACACATCTTCAGGGCAACGGGGTTTATGCTGAGGAGTAGAGATGAGTTTCTGTTTGACTCTATTCTTTCTTTTTTTAGGGGAGCATGGGGAGTTCTATGATTTCCCTCATAATCCTTTGTTTTTATATCATTTCTACCTTGCCAAAGATTACTTTACTTTTCTGTCATTTATAAAAGAAAACTGCTTGAAAGCTAACACATTAAAACATAGTGACTTAGAGGCAAAATGAAAATGATCCCAGGATTTACTACCTACTTGTTTTCTTGTCAAGGGATTTTTGATACTAAGAAAAGTGAGTCTAAAGAGTGTAGGTGTAGGGTGCAAAGACAAACTCAAAATGGATTAAAGACCTAAATTTAAGTCCAGAAGCTATAAAATTCTTAGAGGAAAACATAGGCAGAAACACTTGATGACATAAAGCAAGATCCTCTATGACCCACCTCCTAGAGTAACAGAAATAAAATCAAAAGTAAACAAGTGGGACCTGATTAAACTTAAAAGCTTTTGCACAGCAAAGGAAACTATAAGCAAGGTGAAAAGATAACCCTCAGAATGAGAGAAAATGATAACAAACAACTGATAAAGGATTAATTTCCAAAATATACAAGCAGCTCATACAACTCAATGTCAGAAAAACAAACAACCCAATCAAAAAGTGGGAAAAAGACCTAAACAGACATTTCTCCAAAGAAGACATGTAGATGGCTAACAAACACATGAAAATTGCTCAACATTACTCATTATTCAGTTCAGTTCAGGTCAGTTCAGTTGCTCAGTCATGTCCGACTCTTTGCGACCCCATGAATTGCAGCACGCCAGGCCTCCCTGTCCATCACCAACTCCCAGAGTTTACTCAAACTCATGTCCATCGAGTCAGTGATGCCATCCAGCCATCTCGTACTCTGTCATCCCCTTCTCCTCCTGCCCCCAATCCCTCCCAGCATCAGGGTCTTTTCCAATGAGTCAACTCTTCACATGAGGTGGCCAAAGTATTGCAGATTCAGCTTCAGCATCAGTCCTTCCAATGAACACCCAGGACTGATCTCCTTTAGGATGGACTGGTTGGATCTCCTTGCAGTCCAAGGGACTCTGAAGAGTCTTCTCCAACACCACAGTTCAAAAGCATCAATTCTTCTGGGCTCAGCTTTATTCCCAGTCCAACTCTCACATCCATACATGACCACTGGAAAAACCATAGCCTTGACTAGATAGACCTTTGTTGACAAAGTAATGTCTTTGCTTTTTCATATGCTATCTCGGTTGGTCATAGCTTTCCTTCCAAGGATCTCATTATTAGAGAAATGCAAATCAAAACCACAATGAGATATCACCTCAACACCCAATCAGAATGGCCATCATCAAAAAGTTTACAAATAATAAATGCTGGAGGGGTGTGGAGAAAAGGGATTGTTGGTGGGAATGTAAATTGATACAGCCACTATGGAAGATGGTATGGAGATTCCTTAAAAAACTAGGAATGAAACCACCATATGACCCATCAATCCCACTCCTAGGCATATACCCCCAGGAAACCAAAACTAAAACAGACAGGCATATCCTATTGTTCACTGAAGCACTATTTTCAGTAGCTAGAACATGAAAACAACCTAGATGTCCACTGACAGATGAATGGATAAAGAAGTTGTGGTACATATACACAATGAAATATTGCTGCTGCTAAGTCGCTTCAGTCGTATCTGACTCTGTGCGACCCCAAAGACGGCAGCCCACCAGGCTCCCCTGTCCCTGGGATTCTCCAGGCAAGAACACTGGAGAGGGTTGCCATTTCCTTCTCCAATGCATGAAAGTGAAAAGTAAAAGTGAAGTCCCTCAGTCGTGTACGATTCTGTGTGACCCCATGGACCGCAGCCTACCAGGATCCTCCATCCATGGGACTTTGCAGGCAAGAGTACTGGAGTGGGTTGCCATTGCCTTCTCCCAATGGAATATCCCAATGGAATATTACTCAGCCATAAAAAGGAACACATTTGAGTTAGTTCTGATGAGGTGGATGAACCTATAACCTATTATACAGAGTGAAGTGAGTCAGAAAGAGAAATATCATATTCTAACACACATATATAGAATCTAGAAAAATGCTACTGAAGAATTTATTTACAGGGCAAGAATGAAGAAACAGACATAGAGAAGAGACTTATGGACATGGAGAGGGGAGGGGAGGGTGAGGTGTATGGGAAGAGTAACACAGAAACTTATATTACCGCATGTAAAATAGATAGCCAATGGGAATTTGCTGTCTGGCTCAGGAAACTCAAACAGGGGCTCTGTATCAACATAGAGGCATGGGGTGGGGAGGGAGATGGTAGGGAGTTTCAAAAGGGAGGGGATATGTGTATACCTATGGCTGATTCATGTTGAGGTTTGACAGAAAACAAAATTCTGTAAAGCAATTATCTTTCATTAAAAAAAAAAAAAGTGTAGGTGTAGGGTGAAATGTTCAAAGAGGGAAGCAGGAAGTATTTTGTTGGCATCACCAAAACGCTGGTTTAAAGCAGCCAATATGTCATTCGATCTTTGCTGTCATTTGATCAGTTGGTACCTTAGTTACTTCTGTATTGTCATGTGCCCTCCCCATAAGGTGAGCATGTATTAATATTAGGAAGCTTGAATTGCTAATAATATGATAGATTTCATTTCCCCGAGTTGTCCATACTTTTCTTACAATGCAACATTTATGCTCTTCCATTGAGACTTGAGTTCTGTGCTCACTCTCCTTGTATCTGAACCAAACTAATTAACAACTGCCTCTACCAAAAGAATGTAGTCAGAGTAACTTGGTGTGACTTCAGAAGCTAAGTCATAAATGGTCATTTGGTTTCTGTTTCTTTCTTTTGGGGTACATGACAAAGGAAGCCAGAGGTGCCATGTAGGAAGCCTGGCTGCCTTGAAGCTTCCATAGAGAGTCTCTCCAACTGTTCCAGCCCTAACTCTTCAAGTCTCATCCCAGGCCAAATAAATGAGTGAATAGGACTCTAAATAATTCTGCCAGCCTCAAAGCAACACTAGCCAACCTTGATTTCATACTAAGTGCTAAGGAGACTAAAGATTTATGTGGAAAATAAATGTAATTGTAGTTTTAAGTCAAGTGTTTTGAAAATTAATTTTTATTGATATATTTTACTTGAAATTAATTCACACACCCTAAATTTGCCATTTTAAAATGCACAATTCAGTGGTGTTGAGTGTACTCACAGATTTGTGTAACCATCACTGCTGTCCAATTCTAGAACATTGCCATTAACAGAAAAACCCCTTTCTGTTAGCTCTTGCTCCTCATTCCCTCATCCTCCTCCTATTCTCTCAGTTCAGTTCAGTCATTCAGTCGTGTCCGACTCTGTGACCCCATGAATCACAGCACGCCAGGCCTCCCTATCCATCACCAACTCCCAGAGTTTACCCAAACTCACATCCATTGAGTCGGTGATGCCATCCAGCCATCTCATCCTCTGTCATCCCCTTCTCCTCCTGCCCCCAATCCCTCCCAGCATCAGGGTCTTTTCCAATGAGTCAACTCTTCGCATGAGGTGGCCAAAGTATTGGAGTTTCAGCTTCAGCATCAGTCCTTCCAATGAACACCCAGGACTGATCTCCTTTAGGATGGACTGGTTGGATCTCCTTGCAGTCCAAGGGACTCTCAAGAGTCTTCTCCAACACCACAGTTCAAAAGCATCAATTCTTCGGCGCTCAGCTTTCTTCACAGTCCAACTCTCACATCCATACATGACCACTGGAAAAACCATAGCCTTGACTAGACGGACCTTTGTTGGCAAAGTAATGTCTCTGCTTTTTAATATGCTGTCTAGGTTGGTCATAACTTTCCTTCCAAGGAGTAAGCGTCTTTTAATTTCATGGCTGCAATCACCATCTGCAGTGATTTTGGAGCCCCCAAAAATAAAGTCTGACACTGTTTCCACTGTTTCCCCATCTATTTCCCATGAAGTGATGGGACCAGATGCCATGATCTTAGTTTTCTGAATGTTGAGCTTTAAGCCAACTTTTTCACTCTCCTCTTTCACTTTCATCAAGAGGCTTTTTAGTTCCTCTTCACTTTCTGCCATAAGGGTGGTGTCATCTGCATATCTGAGGTTATTGATATTTCTCCCGGCAATCTTGATTCCAGCTTGTGCTTCTTCCAGCCCAGCATTTCTCATGATGTACTCTGCATATAAGTTAAATAAGCAGGGTGACAATATACAGCCTTGACGTACTCCTTTTCCTATTTGGAACCAGTCTGTTGTTCCATGTCCAGTTCTAACTGTTGCTTCCTGACCTGCATATAGGTTTCTCAAGAGGCAGGTCAGGTGGTCTGGTATTCCCATCTCTTTCAGAATTTTCCACAGTTTATTGTGATCCACACAGTTAAAGGCTTTGGCATAGTCAATAAAGCAGAAATAGATGTTTTTCTGGAACTCTCTTGCTTTTTCAATGATCCAGTGCATGTTGGCCATTTCATCTCTGGTTCCTCTGCCTTTTCTGTTCTCTAGCAACCGCTAAATCTGTTTTCTAACCTGTGGATTTGCCTATTTGTGTATTCATTTGTCACATCATATGATTCCATTCATGAGGTTTTATAGGAAGCAAATCATATGATATGTAGTCTTTAGTGGGTGACTTCTTTCACTTACTGCAGTGTTTTCAGGGTTTATCCCTGTCGTATCAGATAGCAATATCTAACTCATTTTTATGGCTGAATAATATCTCATGGTATGGATATACCACATTTTACTTATTCTTATATCTGTTGACAGACATTTGACTTTTTCATTTTTAGCTATTAGATGTAAAATTATTGGGTCCTATGGAAACTGTATGTTCAATATTTTGAGGTATTGCCAAACTATTTTCCAAAGTTACTGCACCAACTTTATGTTTCTATCAGTAATATATGAGGATTCCAGTTTTTCCATATCCTTGCTAATAATTGTTAATCTGTCTTGTTTATTATAACCATCTTAGTGGGTGTGATATGTCTAGTGTGGACATGAAATTGGGCAAACTTCTGGAGATGGTGAAGGACAGGGAGGCCTGACGTGCTGCAGTCCAAGGGGTCACGAAGAGTTGAACATGACTGGGCGAATGAACAACAGTGGGTGCAGAGTCAGTGTGATTTGGGGTCATTTGTCACACAGCCATTATAACTAGAACATCAGTTTGATGAGGAAAAACCCTAATCTGGAAATCAGAAGATATGAGTTCAAGTACCATCTATGCAACTTGTAACTTGACCTTGGAAAGTCCTTGGTCCTCTGGGCCTCCTTCTTAAAATTTATATAATGAAACTATTTCCTTTAGTTCTCATTATGTTTTAGTGTATTTTTCTCCTCTATACCATTAATATCAACCTATTTAAATGTCTATCAAAATGTAGGTAAAGTTCACAATGGACATTTATCTATATCATCAAGGTGAGTGTGGATTTCATTTTTTAAACAGTTAATAGATATTTATCCAATAATCAAAGTATGGTTACATATGGTCCTGTTTATAGAAAAGACTGATGCAGTGATAAATTTGCCACATTTAAAGCTAAGATGATTTACAATCTTTGTGTAGGGTCTTTGGACTTTTTGGTTACCTGAATGACTTGAACTGCATATATTGACATAGCGTGTGATAGATAAATTGATTTATGGTGAGTAAACTCAACAGCTTACATTGTCCATTTGGAGTCTGTCAGCCTTCGAAAGTAATTCAGGAAACCATTTTATGCTCCATGGCAAATACATTGCTAGGGTTGGTTGGAAGGAGGTAAGTTTCCTTTGCATCTTTTAAATGATGTCAGGAATTCAAGGTTATATCTCAGAAAATCATTTAGTGTTTTATTGATGATTTAAAACATAAGTGCATTAGAAGAAAATCCATTTTATTCATGTGCATTAACTCACTTCAAGTCCTTAAACATCATGGTACAGTGTAAACTTCCTTTCATTTAAAAAAAAAAAATGATTTGTGAAACTTAAAATGGAAGGTAGATCCAGTGCATAACACTTACTGGAATTTTGATCTTGTTCACTTAATCTGCTATATATGCTTTGACTTTGCCTACACAGTCATTCAGTTGCATTGAACACACTTTAAAAAAGTCAGAAAATGTCTTTGGCCTACATGATATGAAAATTTTACTTTTCCTAATTTTTTTGGATGTATAAAATAAGTATCATATCCATAACATAAATCACCAGGAAACAAGTGATGAAAAAGAGGTAAAATTATGCAATGTTCTTTAAAATTTTTGATATGTTTATGATTTGTGTGCAAGAGCTCCATGAAGATGAATTTGTTCTGTTATACTTCTCCATAGTGTTTAAAATAGTACTCTACATAGAATAATTCTGTTTGTTGATTAACATTTAATCTCAAAATTTTAAAAATTGCCTATATTACCTAGGTTGTGGTGCAAAATGTCAGTATTTAGTTATGTGTCTAGAGTTTTGTCATCTTAAGTCAGTAATTGTGTACTTGTTGTTAACTGTAGTTAAAACACTAACTGTATATATTGTTATAATGGTTGAAAAAGGTCAAAATGATCCTATAGATATGACACATTACAATGGAATAACATCAGTATGAGAAGTTGTAGTCAAATATCCAACTTCTGCTGAAAATGCCTTTCTAGTGCCAGATCTCTTCTTATGTATCAATTCTGAGAACTGGAGTAAGTCAATCTGAGTGAAATCATAAGTATAGACTCATAATTTATATGTACTTAAAATGAATAAGTGAATACAATGAGTAGCACAAGGAGAAATGAGGGCTGTTCCAATTAGCTCCCTGTAGATTTTAGAATATGTGTATCTCTTTTCAGTTCTGGATTAGTTGAATTACCTGTAACCAGGGTGTTGGCTTTTTTATTTTTGTTCAGGTTTGCTTAGGTAACATAGTGTGTTATATTGTACTTCAAAGTATAAAAGAAGTCTTAAAACTAACCCTTGAGAATTTATCCTCTTTCAACTTTGGAGAGATCCAAAATAGAATACACCTGCAAGGGAATGTAACTGAATTCTATTAAGCAATCACCTGCCAATATTTGAATTTTGAAAGGATGGTATTAAATGTCTTGTTAATTTAACTATGCTCATAATGCCAAGTTCTGAAGTTCTGCTAAAATAATGTTAAAATGGATATAAAATAACTCAAACTAGCATCAGAGACACATTGAAACATAAATGAAAAACAGCACATGAATCTATGTAGCCTGTTTATATCACCCCAGAGATTTAGATAAAGAAAAACAAACATAACCTTTTCAGCTGTTTCTCACAAGGGAAAAAGAAAATGAAACATTTGATTATAATTGTTTTAATGAGCTGTGATTCAAAATGATGAAGTTGTAATGGTTTGGGTAAAAAATATTCCGTTAATGAGCTTTTATTTCTATCAGAACCTACAAGATATAAAACTCTCCAAGGATAAAGTTTAGCGGCAAAGCAGTGTTTACTTTCTGAAGATTAAAATTCCTAATATTTATCTGCTTTATTTTCAACAAACATACCTACTAATTTCTAGTATTACCAGAGAAAAGAAATGTACTCAAAGAATACAAGCTGTACAATAGACATAAGATGTTTATGTTACTAGTTTTTGCATGGAACTCTTAAGGTAGACTTCTTTGCCAGTTTTGGAGAAGTCTCTCAGTTTTTTCTTTTTTTGTAATTTATATCCTTTTGTCTACTTATAGACACAAACAGCGTAGTCAAAACGTTATTCCACAGGAAACAGGAAAGCTATCAAATCTATTTAAAGTAGAACGTTGTAAGGTGATACTTGTTTTGGATGTTTACTACTAATTTTTTCACTAATGAGGGTTTCCAAAATGAACACTCTATCTAAAGGAAAGTTAAATATATGATAAACAAATGTCTGCTATTGATGATAACTTTTAACATGATTTATGATAAAATAAAGCAATTTGGGTATTCACATTCAATCATATTATAAATTACTAACAACTAAATCTGGCCTAGTTAATTTACCTGCATGTTAGATTATAAGTAGCTGTCAGAAACAGAAAAGATTGATAACTGTGAAGGGCTAGTGAAAGAGATTCTATTTAGTGATCAGGACGTTTGGTCAGACTGCCATTGAAAGTCACTGATTTTGGTCAGGCTTCACTCTAGTGGGGCAGTCCCAAACTAAAGTTTCTTCTCATCAGCGGAGAAATCAGCTTTACATTTTGAACTTTTACACATAGTCAATTCAGTTAACCTATAAATTTCAGCTGGCTAATGGCAATAATATACTCGGTGTCTCTCTCTGTCTCTCTCACACACAGATACGCAGTTATCTTTCTAATCTAGCTTTGTAGTGTGAAATAGAACAATTTAAGACATTAAGAAGAAAAGGAACCCAATGCTTTGAAACTTCTCTTTTTAACCTAATTTTCCCCCCTTCGTATCTCAGTTTCCCAGCTGTAGGCATACTATCAGACCATGTGTAAATATCAATGTTTAGATATTAAAATAGTTTACTTACAAAGCTAACATATTGTGAAAAGGCTGGCAAATATAAAAGGGAATTTTATTAATTCCTTTAGATATGTACATCATGACTCATATGTGAAGAAGTTGCAGAATAGACTTGTCTAATTCTTTAAAGGCCAGATAAGGAATAATGGCAATAATAATAATAGCAAAAATGGCTAGTAGTTTTGATTGCTTACTTTATGCTATATTCTGTTCTGAGCACTTTACATGTATTGCCTAGTTTACATGTAATACATGTAATGTATTACAAAAATATTATAAAGTAGGGACTGTTTTAATCCCCATTTTACTAGTGAGGAGATTGTGACACTGAAGAATTCTGTAGCTTGCCTGATGTCAAAAGCTTATGTCAAATTAAAATGTCCTAATAAGGGGAGGATTAATTCGGGGGTTACAAGGCAATTAAGTTAAGCTTTTAGTTTATTGAGCTGAAATGATGTTCTCATTATGTGTTTTTGTTTACTACATGTGAGTCTATAGATAATTATTCTAAAGTTTCTGAGATAATAATCATTTATTCACTTAACAGATATTTATTGAGTTATTACTAACACCTACCAAGATATTCTAAGTGCTGGCAACAAGCCATGTACTAAATTTCCTGCCCTAATTGAGTTTATATTCTGACATTATATTGTACAGATCATTCAGCAACTTGTTTCACTCATTTTTAGGATTAATCCATACATATATAAATTCTTTTATGTTTTTAATTAGTATATCATTGTAGAAAAATACACCACAACTGATCAATCTCACTACTTGTAAACACTGAGATATTTATCAATTTTGTATTATTGCAACGGATTTATCTGAGAAAATGTCTTGTGTATATATGTGAAAATTTTTGTTTGGTATATATATTTATGTATTAGAATCCAGGTCTTCTGTATTGCAGGCAGATTCTTTACCAACTGAGCTTTGAGGGAATCCCATGTATTAGGATAAGTTATTTATATTGCTGTAAGAAGCTACCTCCAAATCTCAGTTCAGTGCAGTTAAATTCAGTCGCTCAGTCATGTCTCACTGTTTGCAACCCCATGGACTGCAGCACTCCAGGACTCCCTGTCCATCACCAACTCCCAGAGTTTACTCAAACTCACATACATTGAGTCGGTGATGCCATCCAACCATCTCATCCTCTGTTTTCCCCTTCTCCTCCTGCCTTCAGTCTTGCCCAGCATCAGAGTCTTTTCAAATGAGTCAGCTATTCACATCAGTGGCCAAAGTATTGGAGTTTCAGCTTCAGCATCAGTCCTTCCAATGAATATTCAGGACTGGTCTCCTTTAGGATGGACTGGTTGGATCTCCTTGCAGTCCAAAGGACTCTCAAGAGTCTCCTCCAACACCACAGTTCAAAAGCATCAATTCTTCCACGCTCAGCTTTCTTTATAGTCCAACTCTCACATCCATACATGACTACTGGAAAAACCATAGCTTTGACAAGGTGGACCTTTGTTTTCAAATTAATGTCTCTGCTTTTTAATATGCTGTCTGGGTTAGTTATAACTTTCCTTCCAAGGAGTAAATCTCTTTAAATTTCATGGCTGCAATCACCATCTGCAGTGATTTTGGAGCCCAAAAAATAGTCAGCCACTGTTTCTACTGTTTCCCCATCTATGTGCCATGGAGTGATGGGACTGGATGCCATGATCTTAGTTTTCTGAATGTTGAGCTTTAAGCCAACTTTTTCACTCTCCTCTTTCACTTTCATCANAGATGCCATGATCTTAGTTTTCTGAATGTTGAGCTTTAAGCCAACTTTTTCACTCTCCTCTTTCACTTTCATCAAGAGGCTTTTTAGTTCCTCTTCACTTTCTACCATAAGGGTGGTGTCATCTGCATATCTGAGGTTATTGGTATTTCTCCCAGCAGTCTTGATTCCAACTTCTGCTTCATCCAGCCCAGCGTTCTCATGATGTAACTCTGCATATAAGTTAAATAAGCAGGGTGACAATATACAGCCTTGACGTACTTCTTTTCCTATTTGGAACCAGTTAGTTGTTACATGTCCAATTCTAACTGTTGCTTCCTGACCTGCATACAGATTTCTCAAGAAACAGGTCAGGTGGTCTGGTGTTCCCATCTCTTTAAGAATTTTCCAGAGTTTGTTGTGGTCCACACAGTCAAAGGCTTTGGCGTAGTCAAAAAAACAGAAATAAATATTTTTCTGGAACTCTCTTGCTTTTTCAATGGTCCAGTGGATGTTAGCAATTTGATCTCTGGTTCCTCTGCCTTTTCTAAATCCAGCTGGAACATCTGAAATTTCACGGTTCACCTACTGTCATTGGCTTAAAACAAAAGAAGTTTCTTTCTCACATGAAATCTGTTAAGGATTCAGATGATTATCCTGGGCAGCTCTCTTCCAGTCAGCACTCCCCAGGCTGCCTTGATCTTTCGTTCCTTGCACCTTCGTGTATTCTTTCAAGGTCAGCTTGTCAAGTAGGAGCTAGAGGAGTTTACACTGGCAATTATATATGTAGCAATACATGACATCTGTCATTTCACTCTCAACCATTGGCCAGAACCAGCTTCACCCAAGAAAAGGAGACTGAGTAGTATCATCCTTCTATATGCGCAGAAGGACAAATATAATTTTTAATTTTTGTCACCTAGCCATGGCATTGACCTATCATGGGGTAAACATATTTTACATTTATAAGATAATAGTAAATTACTCCTCAAAGTGATAGATTCATTTACCTTTTCATCAGATATATATGAGAATCCCTGTTTCCCTACAGACTGACCAAAACTTGATATTATCAGACTTTATAATTTTTTGCCAGTTTGAGGGATATAAACTGTTATCTCATTATTTAAATTTGCTCTTCTCTGATTACTAGTGAGGGTGAGTATTTGCTAAAGATTTCTGAGGTAGAAAATCCATTTGTGAAGTTAGCCTTTAAGGAGGGAAGAAGTGAAATGGGATATGGAAAGGAGGGAACTGGATATAGAAAACTTCACATTTATCTGCATTGCTTTATTTCTTAAAAATATGACTTGAAAAGATACCCCAAATTGGGCAGTTGTTAAATTCAAATAAAAATATGTTAATAGAACCTTATTATTTTTTTGGTTCCACATTAAAGGAAGTTTAGTGTTTTGATTCACTATCTCTTAACTCTATGGATAATGCTGTGTTTGACTGTAACCCTGGTGACAGGGCACACCCAGATTGCCAATAAGTTCTCCTGAGACTTGGTACCTCTGTCCAGCTTCAATTTAACTAAGCTTCTTGGATTTGCCCTTCAGAAGAAAGAACATATTTTCTTTAATTTGAGTGAAAGTGGGAAATGTACTTGAGAAACCATAAATGTGAGATCCTATGAGAAGGAGTATAATGGCTCTTTCTAAAATCGTGGCTGGGAAGAAACCAAGACACAGAAAGCAGGTCACTGTATTTGTAGTTTGACAAACACACAGAGGAAAAAGGATTTGGAATTTGGATAGTCTATATAGGTAGTTACTTTTATGTCCTTTTGATTTACATGTGTGTTTTTAGAAGTAAAATGTAAGCATTTCAATTTCAACATTACAGGTTAATTCAATTAATTAGAAATACATTCTTTAGTCTTAATCTCTTGGTCATTGAATTTGAAATAAAAATATATCTGCTTCTTATTTTCCCTGAAGAATTTTTGAGTAATAGATTTCTTGTGAAACATGCAGTCGTATCAGTTGATTTGGAGAGTTTTCTTCTTGTTTTTTGGTAAACAGTGTACTCTGAATTCTGACCCAAGAAGTGTGTTTTTTTATGTCTTTTCTGACTTTTTCTTTCTAGGATTTCAATGTGTTGTCCACATCTGGGCTGAAGAACAAAACTGGCCTCACTTCTCCGAGTTTAAGGTATTGCATTTTGGAATTAAATTATTCTTTTTCTCTTATCTATGAATGCTCCCAGAGTTTAATTCTAGGCCATTCCTCTTTCCTTCTTGTGTGTTTTCCCTGAATCAGCTGTGACTCATGGTTTTGACTTTCTCTTCCATGTTGATGGCCCTTCTCTTTACAGAACTTCTATTTATAATTTGGTGAGGTTCCAAAAGGTTGGTTTAAGTCTGTTTGCAAAGTGACACTTAAAATGAGTAACTGCTAACACCCTCTCATGGTACGAAGCAGAGATGATTATTTTTTTCCTCTCTTTTGGCTCATAACTTCATTTGAGTCATAAAAGACACTCTGCTTCGTGTTCTCCGCTTTTGAGGTCTATATCCCAACTGCTTCTGGGACTTGTTCTGTTGGTGGACTGCTTCAAGCTGAACATATTAAAATTTGAGATCATTTTCTTTCCGATAAGCTGTGCCTTTCTCCTTTAAAATAGATATGTACCGTTGATGTCAGTGGACCTCAGAGTCTCTGAAATGTCTATGTGAGATGACGTGAAAGTCGCTCAGTCGTGTCCGACTCTTTGCAACCCCATGGACAGCACAGTCCATGGAATTCTCCAATCCAGAATACTGGAGTGGGTAGCCATTCCCTTCTCCAGGGGATCTTTTCCAACCCAGGGATTGAACCCAGCTCTCGTGCATTGCAGGCAGATTCATTACTGCTGAGCCACCACGGAAGCCCAAGAATACTGGAGTGAACAGTCTATCCCTTCTCCAGCAGATTTTCCCAACCCAGGAATAGAACTGGGGTCTCCAGCATTGAGGGTGGATTCTTTACCAGCTGAGCTACAGGGGAAGCCCAAATGTCTGTACCCTCCAATTAATTTTACTTATACATTTATTTATTTTAATCAAATCCTATTGATTCTCCTAAACTTTCTTTGGGGTCTGTTCATTCCTTGTCATAACAACTATGAATAAAGTCTTTTCATAGCTAATCATCATATGCTTTATGGAAGAGTGCTCTCTGAATTCAGTATTCCAGAGATCCCATCTCATATACATACAGCTCCCCCTGCCCTGCCCCCTGGATTCTTCTTCCTGCAGGGCTGTTTTGCACACCAGTCCTTGGTTTGATAGCCTATATTGATCCAAAATTTATTACTAGGTAGCTTTCACACTCCTCAAGATGGCACTAAATTGCATAATAATCTGGTTTCATACCAAAGGTTAAAATGCATTTTTATCTTTCCAAAGGGAATCCTGTATTCCATCAAATTAAGGCATTTCCAAATAGATGCAGCCTGTGCATTCTCTACTCAAGCTTTTACTTCTGGTACTGGCGCTTATCCAGTACTGGTACTGGATTGCCTTTTCCTCTCTCATCGTATAAATCTTGTTGATATTTCCAGATCCAAGTGAAGTTTCTCTGTCTCTCTAAATCCTCTTCAATGTCTTCAATTTTCAGTCATTCCCCATTAAAAATACTTTTATTACAGGCAGACTTCAAACTTAAAAGATTTTAAAAGTTCAGCAAAACTACAAAAACTTTAATCTCATCTCATGCTGTCTGGTTTATTTTGGCTTTCACTATTTGCTTGATGATTCTTCATTGGAGCTTCAGATATGTCTTATCATCCAGTCTCATACCTTCAATTGCACATAGAACTTTCCACCTGGTGACCAAAATCTCAAACAACTGTTACAATTTGGCATATTTTTCTGCAGTCTTTTTTTTTTTAATGCATTTTCATGTGTTTAGTATTTGTATATCCATAATGTTAGGTAAAATTTTAAACAAAACTTTTAATGGCTTTGCATCATTCTAACATAAAAATATCCCTACATTCAATCATAATTATATACCCTTATGAAAAGGTAAAAAGATAGGACACTGAAAGATGAACTCCCCAGGTCAGTAGGTACCCACTATGCTACTGGAGATCAGTGGAGAAATAACTCCAGAAAGAATGAAGGGATGGAGCCAAAGCAAAAAAACACCCAGATGTGGATGGGACTGGAGATAGAAGCAAGGTCTGATGCTTTAAAGAGCAATATCACATAGGAACCTGGAATTTTAAGTCCATGAATCAAGGCAAACTGGAAGTGGTCAAACAGGAGATGGCAAGAGTGACCATCAACATACTAGGAATCAATGAACTAAGATGGACTAGAATGGGTGAATTTAATTCAGATGACCATTATATCTACTACTGTGGGCAAGAATTCCATAGAAGAGATGGAGTAGCCGTCATAGTCAACAAGAGACCGAAATGAAGTACTTGGATGCAATCTCAAAACTGACAGAATGATCTCTGTTCATTTCCAAGACAGACCATTCAATATTACAGTAATTCAAGTCTATTCCCTGACAAACAGCACTGAAGAAGCTGAAGTTGAATGGTTTTACGAAGACATACAAGAGCTTCTAGAACTAACACCCCCAAAAGATGTCCTTTTCATCATAGGGGACTGGAATGCAAAAGTCGAAAGTCAAGAAACACCTGGAGTAATAGGCAAATTTGGCCTGGGAGTACAGAATGAAGCAGGGAAAAGGCTAAGAGTTCTGCCAAGAGAACACACTGGTCATAGCAAACACCCTCTTCCAACAACACAAGAGGAGACTCTACACATGGACAACACCAGATGGTCAACACCAAAATCGGATTGATTACATTTTCGCAGCCAAAGATGGAGAAGCTCTATACAGTGAGCAAAAACAATACTGGGAGCTGACTGTGACTCAGATCATGAACTCCTTATTGCCAAATTCAGACTTAAATTGAAGAAAGTGGAGAAAACCACTAGACCATTCAGGTATGACCTAAATCAAATCCCTTATGACTATACAGTGAAAGTGAGAAATAGATTTAAGGGACTAGATCTGATAGACAGAGTGCCTGATGAACTATGGGCAGAAGTTCATGACATTGTACAGGAGACAGGAATCAAGACCATCCCCAAGAAAAAGAAATGCAAAAAAGCAAAATGGCTGTCTGAGGAGGCCTTACACATAGCTGTGAAAAGAAGGAAGCTAAAAGCAAAGAAGAGGAAAGATATACCCATTTGAATGCAGAGTTCTAAAGAAGAGCAAGGAGAGATAAGAATGCCTTCCTCAGCGATCAATGCAAAGAAATAGAGGAAAACAATGTAATGGGAAAGACTAGAGATCTCTTGAAGAAAATTAGAGATACCAAGGGAATATTTCATGCAAAGATGGGGGTCAATAAAGGATAGAAATAGTATGTATCTAACAGAAGCATAAGATATTAAGAAGAGGTGGCAAGAATACACAGAAAAACTGTGCAAAAAAGATCTTCACAACCCAGATAATGTCGATGGTGTGATGATTCACNGGGAGAAATATCAATAACCTCAGATATGCAGATGACACCACCCTTATGGCAGAAAGTGAAGAAGAACTAAAGAGCCTCTTGATGAAAGTGAAAGAGGAGAGTGGAAAAGTTGGCTTAAAGCTCAACATTCAGAAAACTAAGATCATGGCATCTGGTCCCATCACATCATGGGAAATAGATGTGGAAACAGTGGCTGGCTATTTTTCTGGGCTTCAAAATCACTGCAGATGGTGATTGCAGCCATGAAATTTAGCAGACGCTTACTCTTTGGAAGAAAAGTTATGACTAACCTAGATAGCATATTAAAAAGCAGAGACATTACTTGGCCAACAAAGGTCCGTTTAGTCAAGGCTATGGTTTTTCCAGTGGTCATGTATGGATATGAGAGTTGGACTATAAAGAAAGATGAACGCCGAAGAATTGATGCTTTTGAACTGGGGTGTTGGAGAAGACTCTTGAAAGTCCCTTGGACTGCAAGGAGATCCAACCAGTCCATCCTAAAGGAGATCAGTCCTGGGTGTTCATTGGAAGGACTGATGTTGAAGTTGAAACTCCAATACTTTGGCCACCTGATGTGAAGAGCTGACTCATTTGAAAAGACTCTGATGCTGGGAAATATTGAGGGCAGGAGGAAAAGGGTATGACAGAGTTTGAGATTGTTGGATGGCATCACTGACTCAATGGACATGGGTTTAGCTGGACTCTGGGAGTTGGTGATGGACAGAGAGGCATTGTGTGCTGCGGTTCATGGGGTCACAAAGAGTTGGACATGACTGAGCCACTGAACTGAATTGAATATACCTTTAATTTTAAATATTTGTAATTTTTTATTATAAGTGATACTGAAACATTTTTGGATAGAAATATTTCCATTTCAATGATTTCTTAAAGCTATTGATTTTAAAGGAATGAAAATACTATAGGTAAAAAATTCATTTTTTCAAATTTCTTCAAGGGAGGTTTTTTAAGTTATCATTTCAAATGAAGATTTTGTCAGATGCCTATATTTATTGTTATAAAGTATTGAGTTAATAGTTTTTTCTAGTAAGATTTTCAGTTCCGTTCAGTGTCTCAATCATGTCTGACTCTTTGTGACCCCATGGACTGTAGCACACCAGGCCTCCCTGTCCATCACCAACACCAAAGTAAGTCTGAGCTTACTCAAACTCATATCATCGAGTCAGTGATGCCATCCAACCATCTCATCCTCTGTCTTCCCCTCCTCTTCCCGCCTTCAATCTTTCCCAGCATCAGTGTCTTTTCAAATGACAGCTCTTCACAGCAGGTGGCCAAAGTGTGGGAGTTTCAGCTTCAGCATCAGTTCCTGCCAATAAATATTCAGGACTGATTTCCTTTAGGATGGACTGGTTGGATCTCCTTGCAGTCCAAGCGACTCTCCAGAGTCTTTCCAACACCACAGTTCAAAAGCATCAATTCTTCGGTGCTCAGCTTTCTTTATAGTTCAACTCTCACATCCATACATGACTACTGGAAAAACCATAGCTTTGACTAGATGGACCTTTGTTTTCAAAGTAATGTCTCTGCTTTTTAATATGCTATTTAGGTTAGTCATAACTTTGCTTCCAAGGAGTAAGCATCTTTTAATTTCATTGCTGTAGTCACTATCTGTAGTGATTTTTGAGCCCCCCCCCCCCCAAAAAAAANT